ATAGAGCTCACAGTATATATATACTCTGTGTTTCTCACAAGTGCTGTTGGACTGTTATGATCCTAAAGGGAGGAGAGATGATGAAAAGCAGAATGGATGAGGCAGTGCAGTGAAGCAGCAAATTAAAACACACTGAGACCTTGACAACCATTATATTCAGTGGCTGGAGGGAAACGTCTGCTACAGTAGATACAATGTCCAATCCACCGTGGCCAGGGGGCTTGAAGACGTACTGAAACTATCAGGTGATATCTCAGCTGGTAACTTCAACATTTTCCAACTAAGGATCAATGGCTGATGGGCTTATAAAGAAACTCAGTACAAATGTTGAGACAGCTCTCTGAGGGTTTTCAAACATGCCTGCACTATTTCTATTATCATTACTCTGTGCCGGAGACAGCCAGAGCAAGAGGAATATTGTTATCCCGGTTGTCCGTCTGTCTGTCCATCCCATTCTCGTGAACACGATATTGCAATAACTTTTTGACAGAACCTCTTCAAATTTGCCACAAACATTCACTAGGACTCAAGGATGAACTGATTCAATTTTGGGGGTCAAAAGGTCAAAGGTCAAGGTCCCAGTGACCTCACAAAATGCAGTTTTGGCCTTCTGAAGGCAATATCTCTGCAATGCCTTAAGGGAATTTCTTCAAACTTGGTAAAAATGTTCACCTGAACTCGAGGACTTTGACTTTGGTGGGTAAAAGTCAAAGGTCAAAGGTCACAGTGACCCCACAAAACATGATTTTGACCTTGTGAATGCAATATCTCCAGAGCTCCTTGATAGAATCCCTTCAAATTTTGCACAAATGTCCACTTGGACTCAAGGACAAACTGATTAGACTTAACTCATTAGCCTTTACTCAAGACTTCACAGGGCAATTATGAAAAAAATTCACACAAATGGTTAATATTTAATATGACTTTGGATTAACAGAAATGTAAATTGAAACTAGTCTGAGTGGCAAAGGCAGACAACCATGAGGCGGTAATTCTAGTTTCTTTATTACCGGTACTGTGTTGCAGCATGACTCCTCTGAGCTACGTGGTTTTTTGCTTTGGATGCAGTAAACAGAAACAAATGGGGTAGGAGATGGGGACAATGGTATGGGAAAAGCATCGTTTACCTTGACTATGTCTTTGTCTCGTGCATGTGATTTTTTACCAAACTTCTTCCCTTGCATACTGATCCCCAGTAACGCCCAAATTCAACTGTGGACCGAATGTCTAACCTCAGCTAAAACCTGACCTGACCCAAACTGAACTGCCGGCAAAGACTCAACTCAACACTTCCTGGAGCTACTTCACAGAAAATAACTCAACACTTCCTGGAGCTACTTCACAGAAAATGCTATTATCAAACCCCTTTTACTTTGAAGAAGCAACTGAGAAGAAGTGTGGAGTTGGCATTAACAGCAGACGTTTGTCCCTTTGATCACAGAACAATTGCCTCCCTGGGATTTTGTTCTCAGGTGTTTTACATCATTTCATTAAATAGAATTACTGAAGAGTGGAAAAAAGCTCTCTGAACTAGCTGACTTGCTAATTGTGATTTTGCAAGCTCATTACCTTGGCCGCAACAGGAATAAAGTTTATTCAGAAGACACATTTGTACAATTGTCTCCTGCCTGCAGTGCCTCATTTATGGAGGAGGGATGAATAAAACTGGCCTGTACAGCACAACTAATAAGCTATGATACTGATTCCACTGAAATGAATTGATTTACTATTGAAATTTTGCCGTTTCAAGCTCTGGTGTGGCAGGGCTATCGGATGGAGAGAAAATAAATGGGAGAGAAATCTTCCAAATCAGTTCCATCATCAGAATTCAGACAGCAGTATCTGAGATATTGCAAATGACAAAGAGATAAATGCCCATTTTGGGACACTGGTTAATATATATATATTTTTTTTTTAAAGATCACAGGAAGACAAGATACAACATCCCCAAACTATCTGAGATAACAAGGAATTGATGGCATAATCACAGCCACACAATCCAAATAGTTCAAAGGAATGAAGCCTGGAGCATGATGAGACAGTGGTGGCTGTTAAAAGTGGACCAGTCGGACAAGTAGTGACAAAGTAGTCCTCCAGTGCCAGGCCCAGTGCAGCAGATAGGAACCTGGCAAGGAGTTGTGCAACTGTGTAGGCACGCGGCCCGACCAAGTAGCTTATCACAAGGAGCTGCATGAGCTGGCAATAAGGAGCAAGGCCTGGCAGCTGGAAACACAAACACACAGCTCTACTCTTTGCATTTACACTGCTGCTTTGGTTTTGTGTGCAGTGAATCTCCCATTTTAATGGTCTCTTTTCTGTTCCCTTTAAAAAGGAAAAGAGGCTAAGGTTATACATGAGCAGAGAAAAGTTGAGAAAAGAGATAAGAGGTAAGAGGAGAGGCACGGTGTGCATGTTTTAGGAGGTCCTGACTCACACCTGTACTGTCATCACCAGCAGCACGAAGCCAGGACAGTGGAAAAACAAACAAGCAACCCACTGGAACCGGGACAGTTTCACATCAACAACACCCACCTTCTCTAGGACTATCGATCCACACCTGACCAAACAACAGTGAATCAATAAAGCAACAAGATAGGGTTTACATTTCTGTCATTTACATGTCATTCCTGATACACACTGGATGAGTTGGGGATGAGGAATACCACATCACATAATTTCTTTCCTATAGCAGGATGCTATAGTGCAGTGCATTATGACACCAAGGCAGTTTATAAAGTGAATATGACTATTTTCCTCTTGTATTGACGGAAATTAGCAACATAAATAAAACTTTTATGACATATGGAAAAGTCTAAATTTATTTGTTCAAGTTTAGTTGTTACTGCCATGTAAATTCAGACATGGCAACAGGTGTCAAACTTTTTAATTTTGGCACTGGAGCTACCCTTTGTTTTATATTTGGATTAGAGATTGTGCCATTTACCATTTGTGATTAAATGAGTGTAGCATAAAGCATTAGTACTGTTGCTGTGATTAAATTACATATTTTCTCTTGCCATGGTACAAAACTGCTTCACTCATTCACTGGAAAAGTGTCTACAGGAGGGAGAACCAGATTAAACTTTTGTGATAATTACACTTGTGGATCTAATGACCCTAAGTATGCGAAAAATAGCACATCATTTACTCGTAGACAAAGCTGGACTGATTGTATACGTAACCAAAACAAGCCTGACAACTTTGACCTTTATCCTGCCATTTACATGGCACACAAGACAGAGAAAGGAAGGAACACCACTGTGGACTGAACGGCTTTCAGAGAGTTTACTGTACTGACTTTGAAAGTGTGCATGTTCACTTTCAGATAACCTTTAACAAATACATCATACTGAATCACAGTTACGTCATTGTGTGATGTATCACTCTGAAATCAGTGCTTCTGAATAAAAGCATGTGACAGAGTAACTAACAGGGCTGCTGTCCCTGCTAACTTTGTTATGGCTGCACTGAAAAAGTCTAAAAGAAAAAGATGTAAAGTGAGTCTTTTTAGTTAGATCAATGCTAGCAGAAAGAAAATTTTAGGAGTACTTTGGTGTGAGTGAGAAAGACTGAATACAATATTTTTAATTACTTAATACTTTGAACAAAGTGTTGTGTGTCCATTTCAGAATAGGTTGCTGCTGTGCTTTCAATTTCTTGAACAGTGTTTCTTTTGTATATTTTATGCTACAACAGAAAGAAAATATGCATTTTAATAGGGCTGCACAATTAATCATAATATAATTGAAATAGCGATATGACCAAGTGAAATATCGAAATCGCTGCAAGTTTTTGATCAAGGTAAAATATGTCACAACACTGTTGTGCATTGTTAACACCATAAGTGTTGTAGTGCTACAGAGACGCCCTGGCCCACAAGTCATATGACTTCTCCAGACGTAAAGGAACATGTTTGTTTGGCAGCAAAAAAATTACATCATCATTTTCATATTTTTTTCAGTGAAAATTAAATGCAAAAATGACCATTCACGCTGAAATCGCAATATCTGCCAAAAATAATCGCAATATGATTTCTTTTGCATATCGTGCAGCCCTACATTTTAACAGCAATTATAACATACAATTGTAACAGTCATAGTTTATTTAAACTGGTTGACAAGTGATTCAAAGTTGGAATCACAGAGCAACAAATGACATATAAAACTATGCAAATCTCTTCAAGTGAAGTCTTCCAATGCAAATACTATGATACTATGGCATAATTGATTTTTGTGACATATTAGTATTTCCACAAACTGTAAAAGTCCTACTCTATACGTGTGTAACTTGAACACAACAATAACAACTCCGATCCCCTCCCTCCCACAGTGACACACAAAAAGAGGTCTACACCCAGTGGCAGCACCACACAGACCCGGTTTCTATTTTCTCACTGGCTTTTGTTCAGCAGCAGACTGAGCTAACAAGTTCAGGAACAAACACCCCCACTGACCAAACTCACATGTAAAGAGCTGCGTCATTTCACTGAGGCTTCCTGAATGCAGCTGGTTTTTCAACAGGAGAAAAATAAGCTGCACAAACCATGGAGTGACAATTTCACTGTGACCTAGTGAACCATCTACTGACAGAAAATGTTTGATTTGAACTATGACCTGTACTATTAAATAAAAAATGTGGGCACCAATAGACACTTAACACTATTATAGAAACAGGCAGAAGGTGAACACAGAGTTTCACTGTAAGCATTTATTTTACATTTGTTCAGCTGCAAATGATCCCCACTGCCAGAATGCAGATGCCACTTTGGTAAAAAAAAAAGAAAAAAAAAGATCACTGTAAGTATACTACAGTCCAGTGGATAAAACAGCTGTCTGCAGATACTGACAATTGTCTTAAATCAACAGATGGATGCAGACGGCTCCACTGCATGACCTGTGCAGATACTAGATGGAGCCAGATATTGAAACAGGGTCCCAGAACCAAAATTAAAATATTTCGACAACAGCAAAATAAGTTTTTTTAAATCTGTGTGACTTTACCTGGAGATGTTCAGTGGAAGAGCTGCTCAGTTCATCTCCAGACTCTGAGTCGTTGGTGGGTCTCTCCTCCCCTGCAGAGTCACAGTGTTGGGTTCTGTCCACATCCAGTGGGGCTCGGGCCATCTCTGGGGATCGGGCGCGGGTACGCGGCAGAGAGCCGTGCCCTCCTCTGTGGACAGGTTGGGGACCTCCACCGTGGACAAGAATCTCAGCTCGGTCATGGTCTGTGGGGGTGGTGGTGGGGTGATGGTGGTTACTGTCCCTGCGTTGGGTGGGGGGACTAAAGTGCCCTGAAAAGGCAGTATGTGCGGAGGGTGAGCGGCGATAGCTGGACTCGTGTCTGTGAAGGTTCTCAGCAGACCGATCCTGGTATCCCAGGTCCAGATTGGTTGGCTTTACCCAGAGTGCACCCCCACTTTGGGAAGGTGAGTTGCCAGTGGCAGCAGGTGGATGTGGGATGGGTTTAGGAGGTGGCATGAGAGCTTTGCGGACCTCTCGGACATACTGAGCAGGTACATAAAAAGCTTTAGTCCCCTCCTCTTTCTTCACCTGCCACCAGTCATCATTGGTTTTCTTGACCAGCATGTAGCATTCCCCCTGCCGGATGGTGATGATGCGGTCCTTGGACTTGTACTCATAGTCGTACTCCACCTCGATGTAGACCTGACCCGGGGCAATGGGCAGTTCCGCCATGACGCCTTTGACTGTCCACCAGGCAGCTCACCGCAACAAGCAGATGTTTATTAGCATGGCTTCATGAGCAGACCTGAAAAAATAAAAACAAACAGGGCTTTAAGTAAATATCAGCATGTGAGCAAATTTACATTTTGCTGCTTTCTAATATCAGTTCATATTCCATAATGGTGATCTAATCATACCTGGGCCTTGTTGGCTGAGTGCTTTAAAACATTGTATGTACCATGTTCCCTGTTGTAATCAGGCCAATTTTTCAAATTAAAGCAGCACACTGAAAATATTGAGTGATTCTTTCTGCTTCTGACTGCTGAATTAATTTCCTCCAAAAAGGCAAATTCACTGAACAGCATTTTCCTTAATATCATATGAGAAAAGATATTAGTATCCACCTCTGTTAAAAAATGTCATATTGTCTTTTCAAACATAAGACATTTTTTTAAAAATGGCAAAGTGGCATTACAATGAAAGTGGCCTTTTGTATGAGGGAGTTATCAGGATGTACATTAGTTTACTTTCCATTAAAAACCTAATTTTACACCTTAGGGAATAGAAGCTTTCGCAGAACACTGGGAAAAACAGTGGTAAACACTCGCAGCAACATCAACCATCAACAGTCAAGGAAGAAACTAAAACTTAATTAATTGAAAAGTCCAAGGAAAAAGGCACTAAAGTAATGACAAAAACTTGTGATGACAACTCAAAGAAAAGTTTAAGAAACTGATAATAGTATAATTTATCCCTTGGTAATATACAGTAATTGGAAAAGATTCCTCTTCATTTCCTGTCTCTCTTACACAACATATACCACAACAAAGACACAGACAACCATGTCTTTTAAAGCCTAATACCCCCTAACCCAATCAGGACAAATGAATAAGATACAAAGGGGGTTTAATCCTCTTCAGAGGCTGAATATACAGCAGTCGGCTCAGAGCTCCAGAGCAGCACATAAGATCAGACAGAAGGAGGGGGGACATTAATGTGGATCACATGGTCTTCTTACACTACAGTATCTCTGTTTTTCTGGCTAACTCTGTCTTTCTCTTACTGTCTGGTAATGACAGCAGCTGAGGCATGCTGCTGCTGAGCAGAGAGATTAGTCAGATCACACAAATACTTTCCTGCTGAAGTCACATCTGTACACACACACACACACACACACACACACACACACACACACACACACACACACACACAACACGAGGTGAGGCTGCAACACACCTTGACCAACCTAAATTTTGAAGTGTCTTTTTCTTTTTTTTTTTAAAAAAAGTGCAAAACTCAACTGACAACACGAAGCATGTGATGGAGCCAAGCCTTAGTTTACATGGTTTGTCTTATGTGAAGTGAACTTTCAGGGCAAACTTGACTTCAATAATAATAATAATTATCCAACAGCCAAATGATGACAAAAACAGAGCTCAGAGCTACGCTAAATGTTTCATTAAAGTTATAGTACATGTTTTGCCGGTGGGTACGAGTGTGACATGATGATATCTTGTCACATACTGCCTAAGGCTACCTCTGAGCATACACCGTTTTGACAGAAAAAAGGTACCACATTGCTACTAGTGTTAGCTGGAGCTTAAGGACTCAGGTAGTAGTCCTAGGAAAAGAAATATTTCATCCTCTAAAAAGTTTAGGAGTTCAAATCTTAATCATGTATCTTATCTCTGTGGCTCTGTTTAGTTGTTTAGTGTCAGACTTTTACTTCATATATTAAGTTGAAATTCCCTCATTTTGTGCTTTTTATTATTTGTAAATATGTTTGTCAGTAGTTTGAGATTATTTGTTTAAAAAAAGTACATTTCAGCTCTTGTTAAGAGGTTTTGGAGGTATGGCACACAATAAGACGCCTATACTTCCTACTAACTACCCTATAAAACCTTTTACATATTAAACTGACATATGGGAAGCTTATGGACAAGAGGGGTAAGAACCAGGAAATGTAAAAATAAAGAGTCTTAGAGTTGTTGTTTTTTTTATTGTGTATTTAATGTCCTGTATTTTCATAGAGATTAAGTAACTCATGCTTATACATTTAACAGTACAAGTGTCTTGTTCAATTTAAGCCATTATCCATGGTTCTGTGATATTTACATGAGTATTTAAAAAGGGTAAAATCAGTCAGTGTTTAGTTGTATACTACTATACAACTAAAATACAGATTTAGGCATCACATGACTGACTTCTGAATTTGAAATGTTTGCAACTGTTCCAGCATTACTACCAGGAAATCACTATAGAAGAGAGTGTGAGTCAAATGATTTGAATGTACACTGTAAGCAAGTTAACATACCAGACCCACCAACAATAAATGGTGCAGCCAGTCAATAGGCAAATTCATGACGAGAGACATTATGTGTCTAACATCCCATCATTTTAATATAAAAACATGGACTGAAGGTTTAGCACTTCATAAAAGTTTAAAATTGAGTGGAAATACATAATTTTCCACATGCATTGATAAAATCTTACTCCATGAATCAGTGTAATAATTAGAGCTCAAACAATTAGTTCATTAACAGATTTGTCAAACAACAGAGAAGTGATCCAAAAATGACAAAAACATACTGTTTCCAGGTTCTCAAATGTGCCCATGTGTGGGTTTAGTCTTTTCGTGATAGCAAACTGAATGTCTTTGGGTTTTGAGTTGATCAGGCAGATTACAAGTTTTAACATCTTTTAGACCAAACAATCAGAAGAGAATAACTGGCAGATTAATCAATGATGAAAATTATCTTTATTTGTAGCCCTGGTACTAATGAAAATGCTAAATTCATCTCAAACATCCCAATCATTACTCGGACCTCAACTGTGTTTATACTCGGAGGTCTAAAATAAAACACAGGACACTCAATGAGTTTCTGTAGATTTTTAACCCCAGCTGAGCAACAACCCACTGGTGGTGCGGTGTGAGCCTCGTCCGAACTAGATGAGGTGGCAGGATATTACGTCAGTAGCAGTTAGAGAATATTACAGTGACAGTCATCAGTGAGTCACATCCAGTGTAACTATTGCCTTGAAAACCAAGATTTATTTTGGTTTTATTTTCATGATACACACAATGACACATGATGACTTCTATCAGCAGAGTTCAGTCACATCTCTTTTTCAGCCCAACCCCACTGCTGTCGACTTGGCACCAAACCAACCACACTACAAATAACTTCCACTGCCAAGTCAGTGTGGTCGTCACACAGACAACATCCTGATGGATCTATTTGGGAAGCAGATTTTCAGACAATTATTGTACCAAACTGTTCGTAATCTATAATTAGCATTGCATGGGAAGCATCCACATTACAAACACATAAAGCAACATGAGCTACACGCTTTTACAACCATCACACCAGCATCTGAATGGTAAACAGGGGTTAGGCAGCCACTATCTAGCATTTCTGTGGCATACTTTCGGTGGTGCATTAGCTTAATAAAGATCTGTGATCAGTCGTGATTACGCCAACAGCACCTGGATTACTCCTGATGCAGTGAGCGGAGGGATAATATCAACGTGGATTAGCTCTTTGGTTCAGGCTAACAGGCACTGAGGGAAATCTCACCAAATCTATCAGCTGCTCAGACCATCCATTAGCCAAATGAACTGCCTCACATGCTAATTCACAGCTCACAGTAACAATACACACAGAGTACAGCTGACTAACGATGCATTAGACTGGGTGAGGGCCGTGTCATGACAAGAACTGGCAGCCTTCCTATTTAACCTGTGACCTGCTAATTCAGCTGGCTGGCCTGACAGGAAGAAGACAGTTTCTTCTATTTCCATCTAATCCTTGCACTGAAGACATTTGGGCTCAAGAGCACCACAAACAACAAGTAACTAATGATTATTTTCTTTATTATTAATCTGCAGGTTATTCCCTCAACTAGAAAATATATCTAGAAAGAAAAAGAAAACTACATCCTACAGTACAAGGTGATGTCTTAATATGTCTTCTCTAGTCCAACCAACAGTCCAAAACCCAAAGATATTCAGTTTACTGTGATACAAAACAGAAAAAGTTAGAAAATATTAATATTTAAGAGGCTGAAAATAACAATAACAATTGATTAACCAACTAATCAATGCAACTCTAGTAATATTTACTCAATAAATAGCCTAATTTATAATAGTTTTCAAATAAGTTTATTGTACACAATGAGGTAGAGTAATCATAAAAGAAGTAGGCACAAAATGAAATCAGATATATAACTGAAGCCAAAAACCACAATGCAAATGCAGGAAAATACTTATTTTCCTTAAATCATCAAGGCTAACAGCTTTGATAAATACTGTAATAATAATCAAGTTTCAATGAAAACAATGAGGAGCATTTTTTACCATTTTCAACCGGCCTGCACTCACTTCATCTACAGTAGGTGTGAGATTTTATCTGTGCAATCTGCTATGCTGAATGCTCCAGTTCGGTCACTGTGATGCACTTCATACGAGAACCCTGTGGTTTGCCTGGAACAAGTTCGGCCCTATCTTTCCTGTATTTCTCCACTTCTGGGAGCAATAACTAAGAGTAAATACTTTCTCTAGCTGCAAATTCTTCAGTGGGTGAGTTCTAGAGAAATTACCTGGCTGGTAAATTTGTCAAAGTGGTTTGGAAAGTCTGGGACTTATGTCACTACAGCAGTTAGACAAGAGTTAATTTCCTGTCTTCCTTGCACAATGTTTCCCTTGGTTGTTCTTTTCACTCTTTCACTTGCCTTTAATATCCTGCCAAAGTTTTCAGGGTAAATCACCAACCATTCTGACAGCTGTGGATTCAGTCACTCAGACTGAATCATGATGAACTAAATCTGAAACAACTTGCAAAATTAAAACATTTTAAACTTTTTTTACACAATGTTGACAAATGCCCCATGCAATTACAGCTCATATGTAAACATAAATGCAACAAAACTTGACACGAGAACCTACAGCTGTTATATAATACTATTATTGTAACTATTTTAAAGTAAAAATCAAAACTGTAAACTGAATATTTTTATTTTGGACTGTAGGTCTGGCAAAACAAGACATTTGAGGATAAGAACTTTTCTGCCATTTACAGAGCAAACAAGTCTTGTGTTTGAGACTGATCAATGATGAAAACAGCCTCATCATTTTTAAACCAATGAAGCATCAGTTATTTTTTGACAATCGTGTCCCTCCTCCCTTCTCATCAGAAAAAAAAGGCTCTTTCCAAATAAAATCCTTGCATTAGTGGAAAACTATGCTCTGAAAAAGCCATTATCCAAATGACTTAAGGTAGGCAAGTCTACAAATAACACAGATTAATTAAGACTTCCTGAGTACTCTCATTCTTCATACTGAAAAGCATTTAAAAGGTTAAGTACCTAGGGGCTGTTGTCTCTTTCACTTATCCCACTCTAGATTAAGCGTCAGAATCAGCAGTGCCATTTAGCAGACAGCACAAATCTTCTCAGAGTCCAATCAGCAAAATCAGAGGAAGCACCTTAATTTAATGTGATGGTAATAAGATTTACAAGGGGGTGTTTGGGGGTGGATGAGTGAGTAGGAAGGATGAAACCATCCTGAGCTACACGGACATGAAGATAGGGCCTTGGTGGATGTGTTGGGAGTGTCAGGAAGACAGAAGAGATGTGTCTGGGACTGATCTGTGTTGAAAAATCTGTTGTTGTCAGCACATGTAGGAAACACACCCTTCCATTTTCTCCCGCCTCAGCAACACAGAAAACAGCACCTTAGAAAGGGGTTTTCACTGAAAAAGCATGAAATGTTGACATGGACAACACGGACAAGTGAGGCAGCGGAGGCATTACTCTGCATCAGCTCTCACATGACTCTTGTTAGCCAGACCGTTTCTATCTGGAGTGGGTGGCCAGTGATTACTTTGAAAGAGTTATTTTCATCATAGGGAGAAAATTTCTTTCACATTATGGAGACATTTAAAGTGAGGGGAAAGGAGGTTGGAGAGATATCAGCCTCACTATTCACATAGTACTGCTGAGGGCTATATGTTAACTTTTCAGAAACAGAGCTATGATTGAACTGTTGTCAAGTTTCTTGCCTTTAAAGTGACTATAATAGATATTTTCTATAACAAAATCAAAAGACAATGTGAAAACAATGTGACAATGTGGTCACCCAAATCTCAGTTTTACAGAGATTTACAGCTAGTTTCCACCCTATGTTTAGCTGCCCAGCCATAACTTTACTTCTTTGGTTCACTCTCAACGCTCACATAGAGTTGTTTGGGCCACAGCAGGCAGCTGTTTTTAGTTTAATAAAAAACTCATTAGACACTAACTGCTCTGTAGGTTGACAGGTAGACAGACACAATTAGCAACTAGCTAGTGAACATAGTGCAGAATTTAGCAGCTTAAGAGCCAGGTATTCCCCCCGAGGAGTGAGTGGAGAGCAAAATCAGAGCTCATAGAGAGTGAGTATTGGACTTACATTTGCCAGGTACCTAAAAACATAGGTCCAAATGAATGATAAAGTTGCTCCGAAACTGCTGGATGTGTAAATAACCAAACGTTTGCCAACAAGTTTGCCATACCAACTTGGTAAAAACAGCTTCTACCTTCCACCTCCATTATATTGGGGTGGCAGCAGACATCTCATGGACAAAAACATCTAAAAAAAAAAAAAAAAACTATCTGCATGGCTCAGTAACCTGGGGGGGGGCAACTGCACTCACCCTTTAATATAGTTAAACTGATGAACAATTTTTTTCATGAGGAACAAGCAGAAGCACTCAGCAGTGCACTGCGACCTTCACATGCATCCACGCCAAATATAGGTCCACATTGCCCCTGAACAGCTTGAATTCAGCACAGGCTGTCCCAGTTAGGCTCCTCTCACCATAACTTTCCTCGAACTCAACTCCCCAAGGTCCCCTGCCACTGTCACAACCACAATCTGTCACACTTCAACTAACCACAGCTACAGCTCACTGATTGTGGGCATCTTCAAAGGAGAGACATGTGAGCACACAATATAAATAAGACACAAAAAGGACATGTTTAAAGGCAGTTAGGGCACCCACAGTAGGAATGAGAGCAGGCAGGGGAAAATGCAATTCATTATGACTTCATCCTCCAACAACCAGTAAATCTTTCCCCTCACACTTACTGGTAAATAAACCAGTTCACCAGCTACCAGCTGTATAACACATGTGGGGAATGGTGTGATTTATGGTTTACAAACAACTTGAGGATGATTTAATCAACAGAGAACTTACACATAACGGTTTTAATAATCAAATTTAGAGTTTCAAATAAGGGTACATATTAATTTTTCCTTTAATGACTTGACAAGTCTATAAAATGTCACAAAACATGCTCTGAAATCTTCCAATTGCTTTATTTTTCCCCAACAAAAGTCACAAACACAGAGATATTCTATTCACAACAGAGCTAATCCTCATATTTCATAATCAAATGTTTGGCATTTTTAGCTTAATTAATTAAATTATGAATCGACCATCAAGATTGCTGTCCTTTACTTTGAGTTGTTGTCACTCACTTTGGGGTTATAATTTATTGCTGTGGGCTAAATTACGGCTCAACTAATTGAAAAATCTGCACACAGATCAATCAACAGTGTCTGTACTGTGATTTATACTATTTAGACCGAAAACTGTGACATTCAAACCTGTAATACTGACTGTAAAACACGTTGTTTCTTTATCAAGTTCAAAAGGTAAAAATGACATTTCACCTGCTCTGTGAACAGCAGGATTGCTGCACCATGACAGTGTAATTTCACTGCTGACAGCTCAGGAAGTTCACCCACAACCAAGTATTTGCTGTAACATTTTTTATCTTGGTCAGCCAGCGGCTTAACAGCAACTTTATGGGAGAATAAATACACCTTTGTCAGGCTTTATCCGGTGTTTATTTTTTTATGCTTTAGGAATAGGCAGTATTCCTAAACGGATTAACTGTACAGTTCTTGATATTTGTAAAGCTTTTCTCTTAACTTTATTAGCTTCGTGTGTACTTATGTACACTTTCGATAAGGATGCAAAAATCAAATCTTACCTATCACCGACTATAGTCACGTTTTATGATCTTAACATAAAGTTCTTGGCAGGGCGTCTGTCGTGGAGCTAATCTGTCGCTAACGTTAGCTAGCTAATTAGCTTTCTGGCTAAAACATTCCTTAGTGTCCCAAACACCGCCGCACCTTCACCTACCTTCTCTGCGGGAGTGAGACAGTCCGTGGGGAAAAGGAAACACACTCCTGGGTGAGGTTAAATTCCCGTACACTTTCCTGTCGACCGACCAACCGTGTGAAAATAGTTCTCCACTTGTCAGGTTAAGTCAGACGGCAGTGCTCCCGTCTCTCCTCTTCTTCCCAGGCCGGTGTAATAATCCACAGTAGTGCTCGTTCCCGTGGACTCACGCCTGCCCTCATAACTTTGGCAACTACCTTCAAGCAAAGACCGTCTATGGAGAATGATGCATTACTCTACTTTTTTTCCAGGAGAAACTCTGACTCGCTTTCCGGTCGGTACATACCCCGAGTAAACGTTGGCGTTACCATAGCAACCACGGTATGAATCAAAATGTCAAGCAACTAAACAAAAACCATTTTATTTAACCGTTAACTATAACTGACAACCGTTAGCTCGTGTTAACCAACACACATCTAAATATGTTTAGTCAGCGTAAACCAGCATCAACCCATTAAAAGCAGCGCAAAGTTTTTATTGAGCGGAAAAAACCTTCAGAGTGAGTACTCTAGCCTAATTTCTGCTCTATGGTCCTAGCCCGCAGGTGTTCAGGATTCAAACTGGGAACTAGCGTCACCTGGCGGTAATGTGGTGGAGATACAACTACATTGCAATTGTCAATTTGCTATGTAGGACAAAAAGTGACATAAGTATAAATAGAAAAAATAAATGTAGAAATGTATAAATTAATAAATAAATAGAAAAATACAGAAATTGTATTTCTTTTATTACCAACATTTTTTTATTTTGCATTTATTTATTTATTTCAGCATTTATTTTTTTATTTTTTTATTTATATTTGTCATTTTTGTCTTTCATTCTTGCTGCTGCAGTACAACCGCAAAGAAGTACAATAACACTTTTCTAGATATGTTTTTCCAGGTTTTCTCTACTAATGATTTACTTTTGATGATTGTTCTGAGAATGCAGATGTAGTGAAACTGTGATCTATTTTTATTTTGACATAACTGCAGTTGTAGGCCAAGGTTTGGGCACCCCTAGGCAAATTATATATTTTGGTGGTATTAAAAAAAAGAGTCTTTCTTCAGTTTCAAAGTTTGCTAGTGAGCCAGCAAGTCTGCATTTGCTTTGTGGTTTTCAATGTTAGTAAGCCATCAGTAAAGGGAAATGAACACCTTAATTTGTAATGAGTCATCAGCAAAAGTTAGTCACCTATGACTTTTAATACATCATTGTCAAATGTTAATGAGCAGTCTATAAATGGATTTTGGTCCAGATGTCTCACAGCTCTTTTTAAGAAGTGGTCAAACAGTCCAATTGAGAGGTCTTTCTAGTGAATAAAATAGTTCTCAGACACACAGATTTTTCACAACCTAACAACCCAACAGTGGTTCTTATTAATGACTCATAACTGAATTATAAATAATTATCAACTGCTTTACTAACCAGCAATACAGCCTTTAATCACAGCTTCTAAACCCTCTATAAATGGTGCAGTCTCAGAAAAGTGGTAGCAGATTTCAAGGGGCCTAACCCAAACCATGAAGAACCAGACCAAATGTATGCATCAATATTGGTTATATAGTGCTTATTAATAAATTAACTTTTCTACATTAACATTACCAAAAAGACAGAAAATACATTTGTGAGCATGACAAAAGTCCAGCATTAAATGACTCATAATTTGTTTGCAAAAACAATTAGTAAATCTTAGCCAAACACAAGAAGGACAGAGGGGTAGAAGAGTTTTCTCATAATTATTTAATCACACATACATTTACATCATGCAGTCAATCCAAAACTGTGATCTCATTAACTTCCCATCTCTGTCCATATCAGAGCCCTGCTATTTGTGCCCCAGTTCTCCAGGAATGATCCAGTACCTTGTCCACTGATGGATCCTCAAAACTGTCCTTTAAAAACTGACCAACTATTACACAGTAATAAAAAAAAGTGGATTCACTTTTGTTTTTTCAAATTTAGAATTAATGCAAAACTCATTTCAATTTAGGAAACACCACAAATATTCTTTGCCGTTTGTATTTAACCATTTTTCCCCATTTCAAATCAAGTTTTGGTGGAAGGTCAAAGGATAAACATTTTGAGGTCCATGCTGCAAAGGCTTAACTAATCTAGAAGATAACACAGAGGGAATAAACCATCTCGATAGACACCAAACACTGTCCTGTCATAGATGCGTGGGAGCTACTCCTCCCGGCAGTCTGTAGAAAGTAGTTTTTACCATTTAAATTATTTGCTGTCAACAAACGGTTCCATTTACAGGACATTGGAAACGTCTTTTTTCCTCCAGTCAAAAACAGCCACATATGGAGTGTTTTTCTGAGTGCAGATATTGTGAAGAAGTGCTATTAAACCCAACTTTCCTGTTACAAGACGACAGGTTTTAGTATGACATCCTACTAGAGAAAGCCAAACTCCCATCCCCCTTTTCAAGCTAGATTTGTTTCACTAGTATCAGCCAAAAATGCTTTTTTGCAACAGGTTTCTTTAATTTATCTGTCTAAAAAGAGAAATATATATGTTTATTCTTATCTAATACTGTACTCAATAGTAAAGTTTTACCATATTGACATCTTACAGGGAGTTTACTGCCCAGTACATCAGTAGATACCCATTAATCTCTGAATATTGGCAGAAAAAGATTTCAGCTCTTCAGAAACAGCAACAAAAGAAGCCGTCAATACACCAAGTTAGTGAAACTGAAGCTAACAGAGAAGAGGGGCAGGGCTTTGACGTCGTATGGCAGGATTACCACTGCTGCTTAGACACCCTGATCACACCTGCCAGTCGACTGATATACAGTGTATTTTACAGTATATTGCACTTGCACAAGATGTTAGGGTTCTCATGCAGGGGTTACAATCACAACAAGATCTTCGCCAATGCACTGGGGCTTCACAGGGTTAAGAACAAAACAAAAGAAAAAAAACTGCGGTGGGAATTAAAAAGAAAATAAATCATGAAGAACACTAAAAAATTACAACAGAGACAACAGAACACAAAATAAATCCTACACCCCTGACTAGATATAGTTAAATAAACCCTTCCTCCAGATGATGACAGAAAATTTTTGTGCAATTACAGACCCTGCTCTCCTGACTGGTTGATCAGCGGCAAGGGTCTGACCCATCGTCTGACACCCTACCCCCCTGCCCGCCGTTCCCCTCCAAATATGCATCTACGTGATCTATGGAACAATGAAAAGATACAGTACATAAAACCCAGCAAAACACGTTGCTTTCTGCAAATTTACAACCAAAGGGGCACATACAGTTACAGGTCCAAAATCTTTGAAGAAACCACAAAAAAAAGGGTGTGGGAGGGAAGAACAAAAATAAAATATATATCGAAGCGAGGCACCCTTGAGAAAGATATCGTGATACGGCAGGGATCAAACAGTTCCTGACAGGTTAGGTTTACAACTAAAAAACAAAAAACAAAAAGATCCTGAATATCCGAGTGAATGGGGATGAGTGACAGCGACCCAGCTAGGACAGGACAAGCATTGTGTGTGCTATCTCAGTCTATATGCCTGCAGACTATGTGCTCCAATGCGCAGAGAGATATAAATAGCGTCCATTAACACAGCATTATCAACCACTGAGAGGAGTAAAAACAGTACATTTAGCTACTTAGCATAGGCTATGCTAAAAAAGGTGGAAGTTTGTTTTGACAACCGGATCATCCTCCTCTTTCCTTCTTTCCTTCCTTCCTTCCTACATTCTTTACATCCTTCGCATGAAGTCACCAATAACGAGTATAGGTTTTATTTTAACTTAATGATAAAAACAATTGGCCTCCACAGGTATTTAGTTAAATACATACTACAGTACACTGTCGCACGTCTTGGCTGTCATTTTTTTTAATCCTTCTCTTCAGCTGTTCCCTGATTTCCATTCAGCTCTCTCTCCAGGGAGGCTTGTGCAGTAGTGCCAATTTTACATCTGTACAACAAGACCGGACAGAACAGTAGTGCTCAACGCCACCTAGTCAATTCAAAACCGTACAGTTTTTTTGTAGTTTTTTTTCCTTAAAGAAGCATGTAAAATCTAGCCAGAGAAAAGTGTGGTTAACAACCAATAATAGTAATCGTGAAATGTACAGAGGTTAGCCTATAGGGTCAAGCTATTTCTCTTGGTAGGGTCTCCTTTTTTTTTTTTTGTTTAAGGTGTTTGTTTTTTTGTTTTTTTTATTCGGATGCTACCGTTACATTCAGCTTGGCACAGTGCAGAACTACTCGCACGATGACGACAGATGACGACAGACTGTGCAAAACAAAATCGAAACCGAAGCTACACATTTGAGTCGCACACGGTTTCGCTCGCCGAGGCTGCGCTCAAGACTGCGTTTGGTTCGGTGGATAAGAATATTATCTTGCCTTTTTGTAAATTAAATTTGTTGTTTTTTTTTTCTTTTAATTATATCCAGTAAGAGAAAAAGAGATAAGTCATGGTGAGAGTTGGGGGATGTGGGAGAGTGGGTGGAGGTGGTGGTGAGGGGGAGGGGGAAATTTAGGGGTGGGGGGGGGGGGTGGAGCTGTAGCAGGCCGGAATATTTATATATATATATTTATAATTCAGAAACTCCTTCTTGGCTCCAAAGCAGCGACGAGGAGCCTGTTCGCTGTAATGGAATGACAGGTTGTCAGGTTGGGCAGGGGGGTGTCATATTGGCTTCTTCTGTGGTGTTGTCCTTCTATCCCGCTGCTCCTCAGCTGCAGAGGAACAGAAAGAAACAACGCTGTTAGCTAAAGTCAAACATTCTGCTCATAAGGTGGCTACCATCCATCATGCAGCTGACAAGTTATATCAACGCGGCGTCAGCTAAAGTTAGAATTGACATTTTGAATTGACGTAAATGCTGTTTCACAAACTTTGTGTGTTCCACTAGTCTTAGCCAAAAATGCTTATTTACAACAGAGGTTTCTTTAATTTATCTGTCTAAAAAGTGAAACGTATGTTTATTCTAATTTTTTTACTGAGTTTACTGCCCTCCCCGCTTTTCTTACCTTCAGCTGAATCATCTCTGTTACTGTATTTAATGAAGGGAATGCATCAGTACATCATTCAGTGACTTGACTTGCTAAATCCTCCCTTTAGTTACAGCATGTTCACTGCATCTCTTAAATAACAACA